TTTCAAGGTTAGGGTCTTTCCCCAGTGAAGGACTTCAGTCTAAGCGTGTGCATACATGTTAAACAAGAATCAGTGAGTTGGGGAATGTCAGTCTTGCATAGTTTCTTAAGAACTCAAAAAAAATGTGGTAAGTAAAAATAAAGGGGAAGTAGGAAGGAAGGAAGGAAAGAAAGAAGAAGCAGGCCTCATTTTTGCCATTTACACCTTGTAAAAGAGGGGTTATGTTATTTTTAGATTTAAGAGGATCTTTCCAAAGCATCCCAAGGGTACTCAGTAATGATGCTTGGGTTTCTCTGATTGCTGGTAAGTTATGGAGTAGGTGCATGGTTCACTGAAAGGAAGGGAAGAAGGATAGCATCCCAGTGACAAAATGGAAGAAATGTCAATGGCCAGAAGATAAGTTACTAAAAGATGGCATTTAGGAAAGGCAGAATGGGGTTTGGGGTTCAGCAGGAACCATATGATGAGTACTTTGTAAATGGCATTTCATTTAATTTTCAGAAGAACCTTATGAAGTCAATATTATTCCTACTTTATCATTGGGAAAACAAAGTATACAGATACTAGCTAATGGTCTCAGAATACAGAACTGATTAGTAGAAAGAGCTAGGACTTGAATCCAGAGCTGTTTTTCTTCAAAGTCCGTATTCTCTTTACCATGGTCGGGTTTGGAAGCTTTAGAAAAACTCACATTTTATCCTTGAATTTTAATCTGCTAAATCTAAGATCACTCTCAGCCAATGCATACAAGATTGCGTAGCTGACTATGGGTCATTTTAAGTGGATTCTCCCATCAACTCCTTTCTTCTTCCTGATATTGTAGACTCCAGAGACATCCCAAAAAAGCCTAAACACAGTTTTACAAAGTGGACCCATTCCTTTCCAAATAATATCTGTCTCTAAACATCTCAGGTTACCTAAGGGCATACACACTAGTGATGATTACTTTGGAAAATTTTCTACTCCAGCAGTGTATTTTTCAGTTATGCAATAGAAACTTTATGATACTGATGATGAAACACCTGGTTCAAAATGTTCAGTTGATACAGTTATCATTACTTTATGTTCTTACACTATTATAGTGTTAACAATTCTGACTGGTTCTTCAAATTTCATTCACCTCTGCACAAACTGTAGTGCTAGCTAATTATTATCTCACAAGTTCCAATAATCAGAGCAAAAGAAGATTCCATCTCATGGGCAAAAAAAAATCAATTGAGGTGCTTTCTAAATTTTTTATTATCTTCCTTACCTGTGGTTATATGCCATCTTTCTTTCCTAACGTCATCTGTATCTTCTCTGATTCTTGATCTTTTCTAGATTTATTTCTTGATCTTTCCAGAGAACACATTTTTTTCTTTTATTGATCAAGTCTCCTTTTTCATTTTTGTTTTTGCTTTTTCAGTTTCCTACTTTATTATTTTCTGCTGTTAGCTTTATTAGTTAACAAAATCATTTCATAATTTTTTTCTAAATCTCTTTGTACATTGTTTTGCAATAAAGACATTTAGTGTATAATTTCATAGAATATTTGGCTTTTCTATATTCTCTCTATTTTATTATGTAGGATTTTTGTTTTTCTTCTGTTCCTAAAGAGTTTGTAATTTTCCCATTTGTGCTTTTTTATACAGATTCAAAGCATCTTTAAATTTCCATAGTATATCAATCAGGATAAATGTTTGTTGTTAATCTTATCCTTATTGTATTTTGATGGATGATGTGGTCTGTATGATTTCTGCCTTTTAAAATGTGTTGACCTAAGCCTGGGCAACAAAATGAGACCCCATCTCTACAAGGAATTTAGAAAATAGCTGGGTGTGGTGGCACGTGCCTGTAGTCTCACCTACACAGGAGGCTGAGGTGGGAGGATCACTTGAGCTCAGGAGGCTGAGATTGTAGTGAACTGTGACCATGCCTCTGCACTCCAATCTGGGCGACAGAGTGAGCCAGGTCTCCAATATAAAAATAAAAATAAAAGTGTTGACCTATAGTTTGTGATCTAGTTAAGTTTCGAGAATATTCTATAGCTGTATGGAAAACATGGAATATTTATTCTCCATTTGGAGGTGCTAAGATATTCATAAAGGTGTTCCTGTGTGTGGTTATAATACGTGTGTGTTATTTAAGATTATTTTTAATGGTCTGAATACATCTGCCAGCTGTACCAGTTTCCCCCAACCTCCAGTTGGAGTAGTTGCAAGGTCTCACATCCATTTCACAAACCTTTGCCAACAAGGTCTATTTCTATATTTCCACAAATGTGCAATCACAGTGTGGAGGGTGGAGTGTCACAACCAAGGGAGGGAAAATAGATAATGAAAAATAAGATTTACCAGTGTAAATAGAATTGGCGTCACTACAGATGGACTTGGTAGCCCCGGCAAAGTCGTTTCTTAGGGTTTCTATTTCCTGATCTACATGCCCTGAGTGGTCATATCTACCCTGCCAGCATTGCAAGGTGTGTCGGCAGAAGCCAAGAGATAAGGAATGTGATAAAGAAATAAATAACACTAACAGTGGTTGCTGCTATTTAGACACGGGAGCAGAAGGAAATGATAACTATGTAAAATGGCTAACAGGGACTCCAAGCAGGTGCTCTGTTTCTATTGGTTCCCTTCCCTGCCCCCATCTACCTTTAGCTTCCTCTGGGGACATCCTCCCTCCTGCATGGAGATACCACCGCCCAATAACGTTTGAGCCTCCCTCTTCGTAGCCCTGGCAGTGTGGAACCCGCTGAAAGCGCGTTGAGGATGAGCAGAGACCTGCCAGCAGCCAAAATTCGCGCTTTAGCACTATCAGCCCTCGCCGAGCATGTGCAGTGTCTCCTCCTTCGGCAGTGGGGGCTGATGGGCAGATACTGCCCAAATGCTCATTCATCAGAAGAGGCTTTCGCTCCGGGTCTCCCCTGGGCCTCGAGCAGAAAGCGTCTCTGCCACGGAGATACAGAGCTGGGAGCCTTCAAGGTCCTCCGCCACTCTCAGCAAGCCCTGCTCTCGATGGAGAGGAGATCGTTGGGTGATGGATGTGGGCTTCCAGGGAAGGTGCTCGCGCTGGTTCCGAGCCCTCCGGGGAAGATATTCGAGCGCGGAGCGTAAGCGCAGGGCACGCCAGCCCGGGGGCCGCGGAAGCAGGCGCTGCGCGTCTCTGCACCACCGGGCCGCCTCCCAGCCCTCTTTCCCCAGTTTGCCCTGCTGCCGCAGTCCGGGCCCAGATTAATTATCTGCACTTGTGAGTGGGCACACACACAAGTTCTCCGGACACGATCCTTTCATCTGTTTCCCCGGCGGAGTCCACCTTTTTAAAGATTAACCTCCCAGCTACCGCTGGCAAGGGGGCAGGATGCGAGTGAGGCGGGGAGGGGCGTTTCACACGTTCAGAGGCACCAAAATTAGCTGCCAGTGCTAAAAGGCTTTGTTTTCTTCGATTTTTGACAAACAAATGAGGTGGGATGCTTGCTTGGCCCCCCGCTGCCCCAGCCCGAGCCCTTGGCTCACTTAGCAGCCTGATGCCGACTTTCAGACGCAGTCCTGTTCTGCTTACACCAGGGGTTCTTCGCCCCCTTGCCGAAGTCTGCAGCCCGGTGGATGCTGGGCGCGGGCTTTCCCTGGGCGCTTTAACGCGGCTTAGGCTAAAGCCCCAGAGCTCCCACCTTCTCACCTCCTGTTTATCGGCCCGCCCCTCTACCACAGCCAAAGGACGTGCCCCTTCAGTAGTGTCGGGGATCCCAGCCCCAGCGCGGGGGAGGGCGCCTCCCTATCCCCTCCTCCCCGTCGCCGCCTCGGCTCGGGGTTTTACTGCAGCAGCCGGAGGTGACAGCGACGCCTCAGCCGCCTCTGTTGCTCTCGGAGCCCCTGCTTCCCCTGCACTGGGAAAGCGCCCCCTCCCGAGAGGCTTGTCTCTGGAGAAGTGCGAACGAGCTGCAGAAAACCAAATTTTAAAATGTGGAAGTCGTTGAGCTGCATTCCTCCAAGGACCAGTCTGATCGCCCAGGACTGAGAGTGGCAGCGTTTGAGAAGTTGGGACCATAGAGCAAGGGGGGGAGGGGAGTGTTGCAGCAGGCATTCTCTTCTGGAAGGAGTCGCTGGGAGCAGTGCGGTTGGACACAAGTTTGCGTAGGAGTGTTTTCCTTTTGTCAATAATTAATCACCGGAATTAGCCAGGTAGAATTTGAGTTTTAGCAATAGTCCTGAGGGCGGGGCCGAACACCTAACTCCGGGAGGCTCCCAGGCGCCCGGCACAGTGGGAAGCTCGCAGCAGCTGGGGAGGAGCCAAAGCCTCGGCGCTCACCTAAGCCGCAGGGAGATACACCCAACTAGGAGGTAAGCATCTTCCAAAATACCTACTTGAACTGTTAAGTAGCTTTAGTAGGATAGAATTCCTGCTCTATAGGAGAAAAAATTAATACTGAGCTTTAATGCAATTTATCAGTTTATTATTTAACTGCATTACAATTTTCAGAATTGATGGATTTTTCCATTTACCTTTCACTATGTGGGAAACTAAGATGTTTCACTCAATAGAAGCCAAACTTTAACACTGAAACTTTCCAAACTAAAAGAAGAGAAAATTACTTTGCTATTTTCACTATTTACCTTTGTGTAGTCCATTAGCTACTCAGGAAAATGTCATTGGGATGTGCTTGGTTTCCTTCTTAAATATTCATCTTTACCTGGTTCCATGCTCTTATACAATCCCTCTCTGCCCATAAGCGACTTAAACTACTGTACTTTAGGCAATAGTACACACAAGTCACCTGCCAAAAAGTGAAGAATTTCCAACAAGGAATACATTTTAACATTCTCTTGTAAGTATTAAGCGGTATGTATTTTCTCAAAGATACTTAAGTGATCCTTTATAAGTAACCAAACTTCTTCACCAAAAGACAGCCAGCTAGAGTTAGCTGAATAGTTACCTTTGCCGTGGGGATGGTGAAGGTGGGGAAATGTTTAGAGAAGTGTTTTAAATATGAGTTGGACTCCAGATTTGTTTCAACTAAAGTGACATTCAGCTGGTTGGCAATTCACATATGAGCCCAGTCCAGATAAGGAGTTTGAAGAATTGTTAAATGTAAGACTTAGCCCCCAAAGTCCAAATAACTGCATCAGGGGAGTTGGGAAAGTTGGTTTTCAAAAATACTTTGTGGTACAGTACTTATTTTGAATTAGACGAAAATTAGAAAATACATGGTCATTTTTGCTAGTGAAATTTTAAAAAGTATACACAAAAATGTTGAATTTTTAATAACTTGATTTCCACATCTGAATTATTCCTATGCTGTTTAAAACAGGTCATTTTGGTGACTTTTTCAATGACTGTGATGGCTTTATACACAGATAACTAGACCAAAACCAACAAGCTGTAGTATGAAATGCACTGTCACTCTCATTATTCAGATTTTTTTTACAACTGTTTAATGGCAATAAGTTAAAAATTATTTGTCAAAACATGGACATTCTAGAATTTGACTAGATTTGAAGTTGAAAGTCAATTTGAAGTTGAAAGTCAACCAGTCCTCAACTCTCATTGGTTTTCTTAATTCACTGTAAATTTGCAAATACTTTATAAAAACTACCCTTTGTAATTATACAGCAATTCTATCTCTACTATGCTAATTATAAAGAGAGTTTTACCACTATTTTACCACCAACTATAAAAGAAACAAAATATTCATTTCATAAAAAATGATCCAAACGGGACTCACTTCCAGAATGGTGATGTGAAGAGCTTTTCAAATCCACTCCCTAAAAACAACAATAACTAGTGAAAATTATAGATAAATAACCATTTAAAGTTCCTGGAAATTGTCCTGAGAACATATAGCATGAAGAAAATATATATTCAAGACAATCTCTTATATTTCAGTAAGAACTGCAAACAATTGTGACGCTTGAACCACAATATGTTTCCCCGCCCTCTCCCGTTGAGTGTGATGACGTTCCACTATGGATGGGTGCAGCCAATAACACAGGGCCCCCTCTCAACCTAGACTCTCATCTACAGTATACCCTGAGAGAAGGAGACTACCAGCATTACTCATCATCCCCAGCTTTGAGTTTCAGAACTCTATTCTAGATGAGAGCAACTGAGAGGTCTGAGACTCTCTTCCTCCAACCATCCTCCACTCTTAAGGCAGAGAATGAAGAACTCAACAACAAAAACACAAATAACCCATTTTAAAAGGGACAAAAAATTTGAATAGACATTTCTCCAAAGAGCAGGTACAAACAGCCAATTTACACATGAGAAGGTGTTTACTAGCCATTAGTGGTTAGGGAAATGAAAATCAAATCAAAACCACAATACGATCCCACTTCACACCAACCAGAATGGCTATTACCAAAAAACAAACAAACAAACAAACAAATAAAAATAGATAATAGCAAGTGTTAGTAAGAAGTAGGGAAAATTGAACTGTCACATATTGCTGGTATTGCTGGTGGGGATGTAAAATGGTGCAATTGCTATGGAAGAGAGTTTGATTGTTCCTCAAAAAGTTGAAAATAGAGTTACCACATAATCAAACAATTCCACTCCTAGGCATATATTCAACAGAACTGAAAACTTATGTCCATTCAAGAACTGTACACAAATGTTCATAGCAGCATTACTCATAACACCCAAAGAAGTTGATTGAAACAACCCAAGTTGTCTACAGAATGATGAATGGATAAATAAAATGTAGTATGGAATGAAATGACAAAATATTATGCAGCAATGAAAATCATGTGGCTGATACTCACTACAACATGGGTGAACATTGAAGAGAGTATGTTAAGTGAAAGAAGACCACGTATTATATGATTTATTTACATAACATATCCATAATAGGCAAATCTACAGAGAAAGTAGATTAGTTGTTTCCTGAGACTGGAGTAGAAGGTAAGATTAGGGAGAAAAGGGGAGTGACTAAAGGGTACAGGGTGTCTTCTTGGAGTGATGCAAATAGTCTAAAATTGACTGTCATGATGGTTGCAATACTGTAAATATACTAAAAACTGTTGAATTGTGTACTTTAAGTAGGTAAATTGTCAATATCTCAATAAAGTATCTCAATAAAGCTGGTTTTAAAAAATTTTCCAGAGTGTTAAAAGAACAAATGGGTTTAAAACTTAGAGTTGATGAGTCCCCATGTACCATTTGACCAATAGTTTATGTGAGGCTTTTCCCCCAATGACCACGTTAAAATATATGAAATATTTAAGAATTTCACAGGTGTCACACAACTATGTGATTCACATATGTTTACCTGCCTGCCCAAACTTTTCTCCATTTAGAATTAAGTCAGATGTCATTAGTACAGTCCTACAAAGAACTCACTTGCAATGCTCTATCTTTTTGAACTCATCCACTCGTTATATTAACCCAGGACCTGTGAGGCCACTTGTTCCTCCTACTTCTAGATATGGCTAGTCCTTTATCAGTGATTCAGGCCAGCGGTTGAGTTTGTTCAGGCCCACACTGGGTGACAGAGGAAGGTACCCGGATCTCAGCCAAAAGTGTACTTGCTTTCTACTCAGATTAGCCCAGTTCTGCCTACACTAGATTGGCCCTAAAAGCCAGAGAGTCTTGGGAAGAGGAAAAACTGGAGCAGCCACTGAAGTCTTCACAGCATACTAACATGTCATTGTCAGAAAGCATCTGCTGTGATTATGTCAACCTCAAATGCAGGAGACACTCCCAAATAATTAATATGTTCCTCTATTCATCTTTTATGTTTTGAGTTCCCACAAGCTGCCTGATCCTGTACTAAGAACCACGAAATCAAATGATAATGTTTTGTACAGAAATAGAAATATAAAACTAGTGAGCCTCAGAGTGTCATGGGGGTGGCAAGCAGCCTCAGCCTTGCTGCCAGACAGTTATAAGTTCATTGAAACAAACCATACCCTTAGCTTTAAGGACTCAAGTCTACTGGCTTCAGGAAATCTCCGGATTTTCCATTCTCACCAGCACAGGCTTATTCTTCCATGTGTATGTTTTTGAGGAGCATATCATGCTGATTCATGTGGGTTTTGACTATCAAAGCTTTTGTTGAAGTCCACTGTAATATTTTGTCTAATTACAAGATTTATATAAAATAATTTTTAATGTTCAGCAACTTACTTTATTTTTTTTTTATTTATTTATTTTGAGACAGAGTTTCACTCTTTTTGCCCAGGCTGGAGTGCAATGGTGTGATCTCAGCTCACTGTAACCTCCGCCTCCCAGGTTCAAGCGATTGTCCTGCCTCAGCCTCCCCAGTAGCTGGGATTGCAGGCGTCTGCCACCATGCCCGGCTAAATTTTTTTTTGTATTTTAGTAGAGATGGGGTTTCACTATGTTGGCCAGGCTGGTCTCAAACTCCTGCCATCAGGTGATCCACACACCTTGGCCTCCTAAAGTGCTAGGATTACAGGCATGAGCCACTGTGCCCAGCTCAGCCATTTGTTTATAAAATCAATATATGTATGAAAAAACTTGGTTATAGTTACTTTTAAAATATTGCTTTCATCAGAATTAATAATTCATTTATCCAACAGATAAATGAACTATGGCACACCTACCCTGTACCAGGTCACTTCTAGGCCCTGGATAAGTAATAAACGAAACAGACAAAAATTCCCAATATGTCAGACATTAATAATAGTAAGTAAATCACATAATGAAGATAAGGGCTCTGAAGAAACATAAAATGGAGAAAAGAATGAGGTACAATTTTAAATAGTGGGATCAGGCTAGGAATTCAGATGATGCAATTAGAAAAATGTAAAATCACATACAAACCTGGCCACTGTAACTCGCCAAAAAGATTACTAGCTCCCAGTTAACTTCTCTCTTCCCCTGGGAAGCTTTGGTTTCCCCTTGCCATTAGCTTCAACCACCAACATTATTTTGCTGCCTATATTTGCTGTTGTTTCATCAGAAAAAATAGCACATTAGCACAAAGGCATTCCAAGCAGGCATAAGGAAGACATAACCCAACACCTGCTCTCGAGAATTACAACCTATGTAAATCACTGCATTATAATAACAAAAATTCTTGCTCAGAGAAATCATTAGCCTGTTCTTTCAGTTTACTTTTGGCCTCTTCCTCTAGTTTCATCCTGGATTCTTACAGTCTTCCAGAGAAGTGTGTGGTAAATAATTAAGAACTAGTTCCCCAAAGTTAATACCGTTTGAAGAGTGAAAGAGTTGGGGAGAAGTGAGGTAAGAGAAATTTCCAGGCCACCATGCCCAGGTAAATGGAGAACAAGTCTTTCAGAACTATGGAAAGTGAGCAGAGCATCAAATCCCACAGACCAACTGAAAAAAAGAGGAAAAAAGCAACCAGTCTCCGCTT